GAAAGCATATGTCAAGGAAATCCTGGCGTAGGCCTACATCTGGCTGAAATGAGCAAACTGACAATTTCTGTTTCCAGCCCACTTTCCTTTCTAAATTAATGGAAGGTTAATGTTAAAAACTTCTTACGTGTTCCATGGGCACACATTAAGTCATGTTAAATTGCATTTGGGTTTCAATGACCATACCAATGTTGAGTGTGTTAGAGAGTGGAATTGGGTTTGGCTATAAAATTCCACAGCTTTTTTCCCCTCAAGGCTTGTTAAATAAAGAGCTCAGACTCTTTGTGATTCTTCATGAGGAAGACTCCAGGACACTCCCAGTTGAGAACACAATCAGTTTCTAGAAACCCTTCTTTGTCAGATGAGCTAAAAGGTCAACTATTTATTAAGGTGGAGCAACAATGTGGTGAGCTCTCACTGAGTCACGGCTGGGAGTTGGAGTACTTTGAAGTTGGTGATGGTTGACTTTAAGTAAGTTGGTTTGTTTCTTCCTATTTCCATGTCTATAGGCTTGAAGAGGAGAAGGGGAAGAGATGAGAACTAAGAAGAGAAAAAGCAAGGGAGGAGAAGGGGAGAGGACAAAAGGTAAGGAGGAAAGGGAGACAAGAAGGAAACCAAACTTCACTGAGCACTCACTTTACACCAGGAACTTTATTATGGAGTTCATGTTGCTCTCCTCTTTGCTCCTTCCAGCCAGCCCGGAGAGTAGCTATCACTGTCTATTTTCAGGTAGAAGTAAACAGTATTAGAACATAAATAGTATTAAGAAAATCAGGACCAGCAGTTGGTGTAATGGTTACATTGCTGGACTCCCACAAGTCAACTGTAGTTCGAGTCCTGGACCAGGCAGCTGAAAGCTCATGTTGGATGTGTGTGTGTGCATGCCCAAAATCCCAAGAAGAGAATGGAAGAGAAGAGATTGTGGCATGGCCACCTCCCCCAACCCTGGGCCATGCCACAGGGCTTCCTCTCTCTCTGGTAAGCACATGTACCCTATAGCAAAAATCTCCCTCTTAAATAAAAAGAAAAAAGAAAAGAATGAAAATCACCCATAGTCTCTTAATGAGTCAATGATAGAGCTGGCGCTGGGATCCAGGCTGTGGACATCCAAGACCATTGCTTTGTCACTTGTATTTCCCCGCTCCTTTAGCCACACTAGCTTCGTCCAGGATCTGCTCTGTGCCACGGACTGTGTTAGGTGTAATGCTGTAATGATGATGACTCCGTTTGCCTCTCCCTGGATACAGGTGTAGATCCTAGCAGGGGACTCTAAGAGCACTGAGTGCCTTAGGTATGGACAACGGGTCAATGAAGATTTTCAGGGAATAGAAGTAGTTGGTGCACTGCCTAGAGAGGTAAACAAATGTGGGGAGGCCTTGTGGGTAGAGGGAGGTGTATATGTAAGCTTGTGAGGTCATAAAGAATCATTATGGGAACCAGCAGATGGTGTAATGGATATATCGCTGGACTCCCATGTAGTTGACTGTGGTTTGAGTCACAGACCCGGTGGCTCAAACTCATGCTGGGCACGTGTGCATGCGTGCCCAAGATCCTGAGAGGAGAATTGAGGAGAAGGGATTGTGGTGTGGCCATCCCTCCTGGGGGGTGATTTCTCACTTTCTCTTTCTCTGTTTCTCTCTCTCTTTCTGGTAAGCGCACACACTCTATAGCAAAAGACCCCTCCAAAAATAAATAAATAAATAAATAAATAAATAAATAAAAAGAAGAATCATTACGTAAGTCATGATGGTCAGAACACAAGGAGTGAGAAGGGGAGCAGTCAGAAGTAAAGGCAGGGACTTGATCATGGTAGGTGTTCTGTGCCAGACCAGTGAGTTGGGGCTTTGTGATAAGGGTGGAAAGAAAGCCATTCAGCAGGTAAACAACTTGATGTAACCCTTTTTAGGCAGGCTACTCTGGTAGCTTTGCAGAGGACAGGTAAAGAGGGGTTGAGGATGAAGTCCATGGAGAATTCTGGAGCTAGGATGGAACTTTATTATTGCCCCAAATTGAGGCAAGGAGACCAGGCCTTTGTAAATAGCATAGGCTCAAGTTCAAAGGGAAAGGGAGACATTTCAGGTGAAATCGAGAGACTCTCAGTACAGAGTTCGAGTGCATCTTTTGAGATCTCTGTGAAATAAAATAATTGACTTAGAAAAAGAGAGGACGTGAGAAGCAGGAAGAGAGGAGACCGGTCACAGACAGGAAGGTTAGAGTTGAAGGTTTAGAGCTGCTGTCTTCCTCGCAATGACAGGTGCCATGTGGACATGGGAGTGGACTGTAGAGGGGGAAGGGAGTTTATTGCCACTGAAGTCACGGGACTGAGAAGCTAGGGTGCTGGATGAACTGCCCATGTGGATACTGAACCACTGAAGATGGTAGCAAATGCTAAGGTGGAGAGGAAGCGTCAGCCAGGCGTTTAGGTGCTCAGTGAGTGTGAATGCATGATGCTCACTTTGGTAGAATAATAGTAGGAAGGGGAGAAAGAGGCATAATAACATGGCCTGAGCCTTTCCTTTTTAAAGTGATTTAATATAAGAAGGTAAAAATAATTTCCTGATAATATTACTAGGGAGTTAGAACAATATTTCTACCATCACTGGAGCTCATGTGACAGAATGAGCAGCTTTCACTAAACAGGGTTAGAAGAATGAATAATCTTAGGGGAGGGACAGGAATTAAAAAGCCAAGGAAGGGCCAGCTCTGTAGGTGGTGGTTAAGGAAGCCAGATACCATAGGCTCACCTCATGCTTTGAATCCCAGAGCTGGCTTTTTTTTTTTTTTTAGAGGTATTTTTTGCTATAGGGCATGTGCGCTCGCCGGAAAGACAGAGAGAGACAGAGAGACAGAAAGCGAGAAATCACCCCCCAGGGGGGGAATGCCACGCCGCAATCCCTTCTCCTCCATTCTCCTCTCGGGATCTTGGGCACGCATGCACACGCTCCCGGCGTGAGTTTAAGCCACTGGGTCTGAGACTCGAACCATAGTCAGCTACATGGGAGTCCAGCGACATAGCCATTACACTAACTGCTGGTCCCAGAGCTGGCAGCTTGAGAACACACCGGGCACATGTGTGAGTGTGCCCCAAATCTGGAAAGGCAAGAGAGATGGAGGAGAAGAAATTGCCCACGGGGGGTTGCTTTTTCTTCTCTCTTTCTGTCTTGGTCTTTCTCTGGTGAGCACACATGCCTTCTAGTGAGGGAAAAAGAAAAGTAAAACAAGTAGAGAGAACACTGCAGAGAAACAGTGCAATACATGAAATTTGTATTGTATGTAGTATTTTCTTTTTGTTGACAATTTTCCTATTATTGCACCATTCATATACTGTTTATATGATTGATTATAGCTTTATAGTGACATCTAGTTTCTGGTGTTTGAAGCGTAATTTTCCTTTTTTAAAAAAGAAATTGTTATATTTTAGGTTTTTGCTACAGGGTACGTGTGCTCATTAGAGAGAGACGTAGAGACAGAGAGGGAAAGA